TGTAAACCGCTTAGAGAGGGCTGAAAGCCCTATGAAGCGGTATATAAGTCTAATTGCTATTGCTATTGCTATTAAAGGCAAAGATAAATCCCTAAAATGGGATTCCGATGATGGCCTCAACAACAAAATCATTGTAAACTTTAACATAGCCAAAGCCAACTTGTAGATCCTTATTTGAAGCTCAATCCAAACTCAGTTCAACATCAATTGCAAACGTACAGGGAGGAAATTCTGTCATTGGGGCAGAATTTCCTCTGCAAATTATGTTGGAACTCTACGATGCCTTCAAGATTTGTTCTTGGCACAAGCCTTCAGCTCATCAATCTACACTTAAAGACAAACTCACCGGGACGTCTTCGAAGAACAAATTTGTGACGTTGTTGTTTGGGCAACTCTGCCAGGCGTTGTTCAGGCGGAAAGCCAGAGCACTGGTGTGTCGGCCTTCCAGTGCAGCAAATTTTCGGAAAGTGCAATTCTGAACGTTGATTGGCCCATCATAGAACTGAATGCCTCTGATGGGGAAATTCCTGAAAAATATTTGTGAAAGATGTGCATTAGATTGGTTCTAAGGCAGGGGCGTCAAACTATTTCATTCAGGGCCGCATCTGTTGTGGCCCACCAGCGGCCAGTGGAACTGGCAGCAGATTCGGACAGTGAAGAGGTTGGGGAGGAAACTGGGCCAGTCCTGGAGTCTGGGGAAGGCTCTGATGAGGGCTCTGTGTCACAGGCAGAGATGGGGCCAGAGCCGTCCGAAAGTTATCAGCTGCTTTCAGAGTCGGAGATCAGTGGGGCGGAAAAACAGCTGGAGCCTCTTCCCAGTGTGCGCATGCACAGAGTTGCCAGACGAAGGGAACAGCTAAAGAACAGGTGCTGACTTGGGAGTAAGGCCACAGGTGAACGATGAAAGGCCCCTCCCAGAGGAAATAAAAGNGATCTAATAGGTCTATTGGAGGTAATTGGCAGCAGGCGGTTTCTCAAGTACCCAGGTCCAATACCATGAAGGGCTTTATAAGTGACAACTAGCACCTTGAAGCGTATCCGGAGACCAATGGGCAGCCAGTGCAGCTCACGGAAGATAGGTGTAACGTGGGTGTACCGGGGTGCACCCACAATCGCTCCCACAATCGATGAGAGTGCATGTGCAGCTCCCTTTGTGCGAGGGGCATCGCTTACACAAATGCAGCTGCACGCACACACACATTGACCACCCACTTGCACAGAACCCTCCTCTCTCCCCCCCCTACCGCCAGTCTTCAAAGCCAGAAAGGTTGGGGATCGCTGCCCTATATGATGGGCATTAAAAGTTCAGAAAGGTTTTTTTTGGGGGGTTAGTGCTTGCATCCTCACTTGTTGAAATTGATGAGCCAGATAGTCAATTCCTCAGGAGCCGCCTTGTCCCAGTGGATGGTGTAGCCTTTCTGCAAAGTGATGACAGGCTGATATTGTTGATAATGGGTACTCTTACTCAGGGCGCCTTCTAAATACAAAGGGTGTGTGTAGAAATCATTTTTAATTATTTTCATCTTCAGGTTGGAGGATTTATATGCTTGGATGTACACCTGTTCAGAAAAAAAAGAGAGAAAGCATATTGAATTGTAGTATATTTAATTAGAATGCAGTCTTGCAGGTTACATCTGCCGACTGCCAGCAGTTCAATCCTGACCAGCTCAACAGGTTGACTCAGACTTCTGTCCTTCCAAGGCTGGTAAAATGAGGACCCACATTATTAGGGGCAATGTGCTGACACTCTAAACCGCTTAGAGAGGGCTGTAAAACCCTGTGAAGAAGGATATAAGTCTAAGTGCTATTGCTATTTATTCCCAGGGGTTATGAAATTCCTACCTTCAATAAGGGCTTTCTAGGCACCTCTATCTTTCAGGCAATGGCATTGTTTTTAAATTATTTAAATCTTTCATGTTGCATGAAGTTTGGCTTCCCATTCAGCTATCAGTGAATAGAAGAAACTAAGACTTGTAGAAGGCTGTAATTGAGTTTATTGGAACTATTGGTTTTGTGGAAAACAAACTCATTCTACTAATTCTTGTTAGAGTTTGTTGCAGCAATCAAACCCAGAAAGCACACCCAGGTAACTGATTCAGCAGGATTCATTAACTTCTCTTTATGTACATAATAACACATGAAGTAATATATACAATACCGAGAGTGGTTCTTTCAATGTGTTAGAGAGGAGAGATTGTAAGTAGGTATAAACACAGGCAGGACAGAAGAGAATTTCTGTTTCAGTCCTCACCACAGACTCAGAGCTAAGCTAAGCCACGCCCAGGCTCCTTACTGTTTCAGCTTCCATTGGCTGACCTTGTTACTAAGCCCTATTCCAGTTCATGAACACATTGACAATTCTGTTATATCTTTGGGTTCCTATTTCTATTTATTAAATTTCTATTTATTAAATTTATAGGCCGCCCAATCCCGAAGGACTCCGGGCAGCTTACAGAAATAAAATTTTAAGAAAGGTTAAAAACAAACAATTGGATTGCAAATAGCCCATAAATTCAATTTTCACCATGTCCTAGGTGTGACAGGGAACTGTGAACCAACAGCCCTCTAATCTGTGCTCCCACCACCATCCCTGCTACCTGTGCATAGCTTCCACTACAGATGGATCCTCTCCAGTCTGGAACTTCAATGCAGTCTCGATGCTTAATGAGCCAATTGTCCTCCTTGATAAGGTATGATCCAGGATATTCTGACACTGAGCCATCCACATCATGGAAAACGGATGTTTTATCGCCATCCATGTCCAACCCATTGAACCAAGGCCCAGGTTCTCCAAAGAAAACTCTGGAGGAAATCTATACGTGAGAAGAAAGACATATTGCTCAGTAAATGCTTGGATCTCTTTGAGGAGGAACACAACTTGCTTCCCACATGATGATCTCTGAATAGACATGTTCATGGTGTTTCTCCCAATAATGGAATATATGCTCATCATTTTATTCATTCATTCATTCATTCATTCATTCATTCATTCATTCATTCATTCATTCATTCATTCATTTATTTCACCAAGCATGTATTAGATAACAGATATAAATATAATCACGCTTATGAATACATGAAATGGATACGAATAAATGGGGACAATAGAGAGGGACAGTAGGTACTTTGGTGTGCTTATGCATGCCTCTTGCAAACCTCTTAGGAATGGGATGAGGTTGACAATAGAGAGTCTAAGGTTAAAGTTTTGGGGGTTTGAGGAAGTAACAATGAAGTCAGGTAGTGCATTCCAGGCGTTGACCCCTCTGTTGCTGAAGTCGTATTTTCTGCAATCGAGTTTGGAGCGGTTCACCTTGAGTTTGTTATCAATTGTTTGCTCATGTATTATTGTGGTTGAAGCTGAAGTAGTCATTGACAGGCAAGACGTTGTAGCAGATAATTTTATGTACTACGCTTAGGTCAGAACGAAGCTGGTGTAGTTCTAATTAATTTAATTAGACAGACATTTTAATTGAAAAGTGTGATCATGTGACCCCGAGATGCTAAAACCATCATAAATATATACAAGGGCCATTTTGATCATGTGCCCATGGGATGTTGAAATGCTTGTGTGGGGACGAGTCATAAGACACTTTTCTCAGTGCCATTTTAACTTTGGATGGTTGCTAAATGAATGGCTGTCAGTTGAGAGCCGAGGTGGTGCAGTGGTTAGAGTGCTGTACTGCAGCCACTTCAGCTGATTGTTATCTGCAGTTCGGCGGTTCAAATCTCATCGGCTCAGGGTTGACTCAGCCTTCCATCCTTCCGAGGTGGGTAAAATGAGCACCCAGACTGTTGGGGGCAATATGNTCCGTAGTTAGAGGTAAGGTAGTCCTTGACTTACGACGGTTCATTTAGTGACCATTCAAAATTACAAGGGCACTGGAGAAAAAGTTTTTCACTACTTCAGTCCATCGCGCCGTCCCTGTGATCACAATTCAGATGCTTGGCAATTGACTCGTACATATGACGGTTGCAGTCTTCCTGGGGTCATGCGATCCCCTTTCGCGACCTTCTGACCAGCAAAGCCAGCGGGGAAGACAGATTCGCTTAACAACCATCTTAACAATGGCACTGATTCGCTTAACAACTGCAGCAAGAAAGATCCTAAGATGGGGCAACGCTCACTTCACAAATGTCTCATTTAGCAACGGAAATTTGGGGCCCAGTTGTGGTTGTAAAGGAGTGGTGCGGTGGCCTAGAGGTGGAGCTCTCGCCTCACAATCAGGAGGCTGTGAGTTCGATCCTAGGTAGAGGCAGATATTTCTCTCTCTGGGCCCCATGAGAATATATCTGCTGAACAAAACTCCGCCCTGGGGACGAGAAAGGCATCCGGCCAGGAAACACTCTGCTAGCTTCATTCAGTTGCTCAGACTCCATACTGCAAGGGATTATGGGGAAATGATGTTAATCTGTATTTATTTTTTTTCTTGACCAGATATACCTCCTCGGTCAAGTATGACTCCGAAAAACACTTCATTAATAATGTTTACATGCCAGTCCGGCTTGGCGTGTCGTCTTGCAGCCAAACCATCATCTGTGTTCCCGACAGCACGTGGCGCAGTTACAAAGCCGAGGTGCAATTCCACCTTTGCAACCGACCCGGGAATTTCACAAGCACCACCATTGTGTACCCAAAGAACACCAAGACTGTGTACACCACTACCCTGGATTACAATTGCAAAAAATTCAACCGGAAATTCTTGTCTAGCGTGGAGTTGGAATCGTCTGGAAATGAGACGCAGCCAGAAAGCTGTTGACTTCCAATTCTCTTTTGTTGAAACTCAAGTGGCTTCTACACAGCTATCTTTTTCACAATCAAAAGCTAAAAAAAATAACGTCGGAATGACCTGTTGGACATCCGCACCCTAATGGATTCAACAGGCAACGGGAATAAGGAAAGGAGAGCTGACAGCATCCATCAGTGGTTACTTTGCTTCCTGCTATTTGTTACAGCCCCCCCCCCCCAAGTTTTAAAATAAAATTAAGTCTCTAATCCAGTGTTTCTCAACCTTGGCAACTTGAAGATGTCCAGACTTGAACTCCCAGAATTCTGGGAGTTGAAGTCCGGACATCTTCAAGTTGCCAAGGTTGAGAAACACTGCTGTAATCTCTAAAAAAAATAATTATCACGTTTTCCTCCCTTCATCCATGTTCTTACTTCTTGTCTTGTCGAGTTCAACAGGAAAAAAAAAATCTGAATGGTTGATTGCAAGTGGCTGCAAAGCCGTTAAGCCGCCATTCCTATGAAAGGTCCTGCTGATAGCTCATAGCAGGAGGAAGAACGTTTCCATGAATGGGAAAATGGGAGAAGAGAAGAGATGGCATTTCAGAGCCTTTGGAAGAGAAAGCACCGCTTTTATATAGATTTTCAAAATCACCTCGAATAACGCCAGGAATAAATCCGCTTTCACCCGCCACTGATGTGGTGGAATGGAAAATAAAAAAAATAAAAATCAAGAGCTGCTTTAAACCAGTGTGGAATCCTTGTGTAAATCTCAAGTTTCACCCAGGGTCATATTAAAAGTCGGTTCCTTTTTGCTTAAAAGTTCTCGTACTTCATTTTTTCTTTTATGTATAAAAATAGCAATTCCCCCCCTCTCTCTTTTCCTTTTTTTTTTTTTTTTGCTTTCCTTTAAAAAAAAACAACCTTTCTTGATGTTTTCTTATACGGGGTGAAAATCAGGATCTGTTTTTTTAAGAGGGAACTTTTCTTAAATACATTTAAATAACTTAATTTTCCTCTTACTTAAAGTAAGAACGTTTAAGGGATTGTGGAAACGTTTTCCTGATTTGGAGAATTTAAAAAACAAAACTGTTTTTTTAATCTCATCTTTTAAAGCCATTGCGGATTTTTAAGGCTAAATTCAGCACTTCCTTTGTTAAGTTAAAGCAGTGTTTTTCAAACATGGCCATTTTAAAACGGGTGAGCTTCAACTCCCAGAATTCCCTAGCCAGCATTGTTGGCTGGGGAATTCTGGGAGTTGAAGTCCACCCATCTTATCGTTCCCAACTTTAAAAAACATAGAGCTAAAGTATAATATATAGATTTTGCTGGAGCAGTTCCTAATTTTAGATTGATGTAGAATTTTTGTAAAAAATAACCTGTTATTCTATTCGGGATATTTGAAGAATTCTGAATGCCTCCAGAGAGTTGTGTGAAATGATTTTACATTTAAAGAAAAAGACAAATGAGATATTATAGATTTACTTTAACCAATATAACTTATTTGCTATAAAATTACCTCTTTCCCCCGTGACTGGAATGCCTCGAGCAATTTCAACCAAACTTGGTACACAGATGACTTAACCTCTGGAAACAGTGGGGGTAAGTCACCCCTAAAACCCCTCGGTGTGTGTGTTCTGTTAAGATACAGCCTGTTGTGCCTTAGAATGGCTTCTACTGTACTGTCGTAAATGGCTTCTACTGAACAGTGCAGTGGAGTTGCCATGGTAATGGCTTCACAGTACTCCACAAGGGGGCTCCCTCTGGTAAGGGGGAAAACCCAACATTATAAATTACATTTGGTCCGGACAATTCCCCCCCTATAAATAAATACTCAGGCAATGTCATGTTATCAGCTAGTTTGCTATAAAATTACCTCGCCGCTCTTTCCCCGTGACTTTTACTAGTTCTGTTTGTAATGATCGAACAAAAGCATTTTGTTCGCAGGTCTTTTAATAATTAATTCCAAGCCATGAGACAATGAAATGCTACAGCTTCACTTTTGATAGGAAAATTTAATTTATCATGGGATAAATTAAACAGTCAAGGAAAAAGTAGGTAGTTTTGTGCATTTGTGGGAATTAGCCATTAATTTTGAGAAAGGGACAGCTGCAAACTGTTTCCAAGGATAAAAGTTTTTAACATCTGAAGCTATTTTTTACATTCTTGAGTGCGGATTAAAAGTCATGTGCGTTTTATTGTTTTCCAGCTGTTTTCCTGTGTGAAACAAGTTGTGGTTTTAGGATCAATACAAAATGCGAGGGGGGGAAAAATCAGCAAAAGGTTGAAAAGAGATATTTACTTTTGTGCATTCAGGATCGATAATCTCTAATCACAAAATGCGAGAACAATTCGGCAAAGCTTGAGGAACCAATATTTACTCTTGTGTATTCAGGGTCAACAATCTCTCAACACAGAATGAGAGAAAAATTCAGCAAAGATTAAAAAAAACAAATATTTGCTTTTGTGTTTTCAAGGCTGAATAATCCCTCATTACAAAATGGGGATAAAATTCAGGCACAGTTCAGAAACAAATATTTCCTTTTGCCCAGGCAGTCGCGTAACTAAATTAAGGTTAGGTTAATCATAGTTTGTAAGAGAAGCCACAGTGGGTGCATTCTTACAGCATGCTGGACTGTAAGCCATGGTTTACTTTAGACAACTTGGGTGAATCCAGAAAATATTCCGTGAAAGTGGTAGTCACACATTCGAAGAAAATTGAAAAAAAAAAAACACAACATCCCAGCTCAAACATATTTAATGGATGGAACACAAATAATCTAAAATGTTGAGTGGAACCCAATGCTCTTAGCTTTACATTGAGAAAGTTTTTTAAAAGTGATAATAAAGAACGGAGAAGTTCTTTATAAATAATAATAATAAATAAATAACTAAGAAGTATATTTGTGTTAGTCTGATTTGATTTTGTTGGAGAAGAGCTGTGTTCATTTATGACAACATTTTTCAATTTTGGCGACCTTAAAATGGGTGGACTTCAACTCCCAGAATTCCCCAGACGACTAGGGGGATTCTGGGAGTTGAACAAAAGTGGACACCCCGTGCGCAAGCAAAGCACATGTGCAGAAGACACA